AAGCACGCTAGGAAGGTCAAAGAAATATCTTATAGCTTCACGTCTACAAGTAAAATCAATTAGTTTTTCTCGCTTGTGAGTACGCACATTTGTATTACTTTCAGTCTGTTATCTCAAGTAATATTTCATTTTAAGATTTTTTTAATAAATGATTTTATTGCTGAACTTTTGAAGGGGAATACATTTTCTTAAATATTACTTCATTTATTGCTTTTCGATTTTCGAAAAGATGTGCTTTCTGACTGCGCAGAGATTACTGTAAAGACAACAGAATTATTCTGTAAAGATTGATTGATGTATTTCGTATTTTCGAAAGCAAGAATATGCGATTAGAGATCTTAGGGAATCTAAAAAACTCATCATTTAGAATTTTTCAGATATTTATTATCAAGTTTCAGCTAAGCATTTAAATTACGACCTCGTGCGTTTTATCTAGAGTTATGTCATATGCTATAGCTGCCCAGTCGGTATAGTGGTCAGGGAAGCTGACTGCGATGCCGAAGGGCCTGGGTTCGAATACCGGAGAAGGCATGGTTCTAACTGTCCGTCCCTTCATAGGAAAGGCAATAGTTACCCACATATTAGGTGCCTTCATAATAAAAGCCACATCCGGCCTTGTATGGATTAATGGACTGGGTTACATTTGTAAATGTTCACAATCTGCCATTGGGGGGGGGATGTCATATGCTATATGTAGTCATCTTATTAACGTTAACATAGTTACTAATAATAATCACATTAGGAATAGCTAAGACACATTTAATTACAATTTTGTTTGGTAAAATGACATAGACCAAATGAAATCCAATTTTATGATTCTGCAGGAAATTGCTAAAAATGATATTTGTTTTATACGGTATCAGTTCAGATGGAATTACATAATGATTATTTTGAAGCATGATTAAAGTTGTAGAAAATTTATACAGCATAAACATAAGTGAGCCCGAGAAACTTGTAGAGTCTTCATTCCTTTCGAAACATGATTAAAGTTGTAGAAAATTTATACAGCATAAACATAAGTGAGCCTAAGGAACTTGTAGAGTCTTGGTTCCTTTCGGAACATGAAGGTTGATACAATCCGCTATTCCTTCGCTGGAATTGTAATTCTGAAATTCTCGGCTGCTAGCCGGACGTGCTCCCAATTACACTATAAAGGCAAGCGATAAGAAGGGAGAAAATATCTTACTTTCCATACGAATTACTGTGTATAACATTTTAGTTTGGGCTCTATTTGTAGTTCAGATATTCTTCTTCCTTTTTTTAAAACAGGAAAAGTGAAAAATGAGCTATGCCCCGGTGGGATTCAAACTTTGGATCTCCCGATTGCTAGCCGAGCGTGCTTTAAATTGCACAACAAAGGTACCCAGTAAGAAATTAGAAAATACCTTACAAACTAGTATATTTTATCAACAGGAAAAGAGTATCTAATAAATGTGAAAATTTCTCAAATACAGACGTTTCATGAAGACTTTAGCACGAAAGTAAAGGAGAATGGAATTCATATATAAATTACCCAGTGGAATTTGGATACCCCTTCCCCCCCAAAAAAAATGCGTAAAAATACTTTGTTAATAAATTTTTGATGTAGTTTGCATATTTGTGTGATAGGTTGATTCAGAGATACTTGTATATTAACCAGTAAGAAGTATAAGGGTTCTAATTATTAGAAAAAAAAACGGACTGGACACAGAAGCTTAGGTAATAGTCTCTTTCCAGTGTATTACTGACGATTTATTATTGATGTATGTTGTTGATATTTAACTGTTGCTGTGTCACTAGTTCCTATTACTGATGAGATAACCCAGTTCATGGAACGAAGATATGCAGTTGCTCTCTATTCGTACAGCTTTTTTGGCCCTCTTACTTACTCAGACGATTAAGATAAAGAAAGCGATTTTTCTTTCGCGAGTTCTGACAACGCAAAATATTTTTCGTAAGGTGAAAAGGTCAAACCGTAGCACTTGAAAGAGCGGAACGTTTTTGAAAACGCTTGTGGAGGGGAACTCAGTGGTAATAATGAAATCTCGCTGAATCGTTCGCCCTCTTAAGTCAGTCTCCCGCTGTTTTCCCCATATAAACAAAAGTAGGCAATAATTTGTAAGAAAGATAAGGGTGTTAACCAGCTCGTCCGTCTGCCTTGAGTCTTTCAACGGTAAGAGAGGCTACGCAGTGACACCAAGGTGGTCGAATGCCTTGTGTTTACAGAAAAAGAGCCGTCTAATAACCGAAACCTACACTTTAACACGAAGCCATTACGAGTTCTTTGCTCCTGGGAATGAGGAGAAAGGGGAAGCGTTGATTGAATAAATGGCAGAAAGGGCTGCATATATATGTCATTTCCTACAACCATAATGGTGCTGTTACAAATCCCCTCATTCCACCCGTTGTTTACGGTCAAGCGATCGTTCACGCATTTGTCATTACTCTTTCTGCACTTGAGTAAGCTAATCGGGAAACTGAAAGTGTTGATTACTTACAGAAAACAGGGAAAATATTCTGTATTTCCAGAAAAAAAAAAAAAAAAAGTAAAGACCAAATGAACTGTTTATTCATTATTATTTGTTAAAAAAGAAAATTTCTAAAGTGCATTTTATTATTACATAAACAGAAGTGTGGCAAACGTTGGAACTGTCTTTTCACAAGCATACAATTTTTGTTGTTGTTGCTGTTGTTTATTCATATCATTAAGATTAATGCAGCAGTAATGCGATATAGGGAAGCTTCTTCTGGCGGCCATTTCCCCAAGACGTCTACCACTAAAATGAGCATTATTTCTGAGAGCACAAATAAGCTCAGATATTGAACATTAACTCTTTAAAACGACCACATCTACAGAAAACCCAAACCATCTGAAAATTTTCGGAGGGGTGTCATTTTAGTTAGAAAAGATTCACAGCATAGAGTTTCACGCCTCCATAACAGAATTCGGGAATTTGGGCAAGCCATAGTGTTTACGCTTCACATTAGTGCTGCACACGAAATTTTCAAAACTTTAACTTTAGCTTGAAGTAGTCTCTTAACTAGCTATTTTATTTTGGACACTCCCCCCCCCCCATTTTCCATTCTAAAAATAGTATCTTTATTCTAAATCTCTCTAAACTGCGTCATTTCAAAATTAATAACAGTCATACGCAGAGCTTAAATTGCGCCGGAGCCCACCGAAGCCCGGTTCTGGTACTTCTTAGTTTTGGGGAAATATTCTAATTCTAGCCGGAGCCCTAAATAAGAAGGCTCCGGCACATTTTTATGTAACGAAACAATTATTTTAGTAGAAATTTTATCTAGAAAATTTTATTTTTACCAATAAAATTATATAAAAAATCGCTTATTAAATTTTAATTTATCTCTTTACATTTTATTTAATTTTAATTATTTACTTACTTTAAACATTTGAATTATTTTAATAAATAATAATAAATTTTGAATGAATTATACAATAATACAAGTTAAATAATAATTAATAAATATTAATTATTAATATAATTAAATAATTATTAATTAATTTGATACTCATTAACTATTTAATTTTAAAATTATTAATGATTTTAATAGTCATTTTGTTAATTTATTTACTCTTGTTCCTCTTTCGTGATTGTCTTTCATAGGGCTCAGGCACTTCTACTTTTAGAAATTAAGCCCTGGTCATACGAGTTTTACACAGCGTAAATAGAGACGCAAATAATTTAGCAAACTCAAACTCAAAACAGCCAATCAATAATGAAGGTAAAGTAAACTTTTACTAAACTTTCATCTTAGATGCATGGCATTTGCTTTCCATTTGTCTTGCTGTCCTGTCTAGAGTGCTTCATGCTGCTTTTATTCTCGCAACGTCATTGAAATTCAGAAAGTTCTATAGCAGGGGCGCTTACTGCCCTACTTTATCTGTGTTAATTATAAAATGTTTATCAAAGGTAAAGGGGTATTTAAATCGACCATCACTGCAAGCTTCTTCTTCACTCCATCAACATCTGTATTCAATAATAAAAATTATTTCAACTTAAATTGCATTAAGATTTTTATGTGAAAAGCCATATGACTGGGGTTAATTTTTAAATGAGACAGTTTAGAGAAGCTACTGTTTCTAGGATGCAGAAGATAAATAACCAAATTAAAATAGACATTTAAGGGATTACTGCAAATTAATGTTAGATTTTTAATTTACATATTTTTGTCTTACACACACACATATATATATAAAGGGTTGCTTATAATTATTATATCTTTTCTCTAAGACCATTCTTTTCAAATCCATTAGTCTTCTTTTCCTAAGGTATATGAAGGAATGCTAGATAGTCTACTATCCACTTAGTTAGTTACTAACTATCCACTTAGTTAGAAAAGGGGATAACTTATTATTTGGTACACAAATTACCAGATGATGATCTTGTTAATTGATCTTTTTCAGGATAAAACTAATTTGGGCTTACTGGAGCTTACTAGAACGAGCCTATTGTGAACAAAAGCATTTTATTTATTTATTTTAGAAATATTCATAGTTTATTTCTTTTAATATAAGACTATTTTGAAATTTTATTATCAACTTTAAAATCGTCTTTAATTTCTTTCGAGAAATCTTTTAGAGAAGCCGAATTTTCTGCTGTCGAAAAACTTTTCTTTCGTCCAGAATTAAAACTAAATCAAAAGCCTCCATAAAAGTGTTCTAGAAAGAATAATAACAAATGATATTATAATAAGTTAATGGATAATCGTATTATGAAGCATTATTATCACCTAAAATCTTCTGATTAACATAAATTTAAATATTTCAGATTCTGTACTGAAATGGACATAAAGTATTACTAAAAAATTTGTACTGTCAATTAGGTTAAAATCTAATGCCGATATTTTATATTTACTCTTTGAAGGAAATTCGCATAATTTGTTTAATAGCTTGAAAAATTTTTTGCTTGTAAGATTTTTAATTTAATTTTCGTCACTGGATATTTAGACGGATTTCAATGCAACTTCTCGATAAATTTTGCATTTCGTTTACTTTTTAGATACAATCGAGACCGCAATTGAAGATTATATAGAAAACCACCTTTTAAAAGAAAATGAGCTACTTAATTAAGTAAGTACTTTTTTCAAATATATATTTTTTTTTCCTCTTTTTAATACGATGTGTTTGAAAATGTCGGTGCTGGCTGCATTTCTTTAAATAGTGACCACATGCACTTCCAATTGCAAGTTCCTCAAGACAGAGAACTTTATGAAAACAGTTCAATGATGAGGCTAGGATGATTTTGTAAATATCAAATTTAAATTTTTATGGCCTCTTAATTAAGTATGCACATGCCGTTTATGCAGCAAATTAAGATAAAGGAGATATTAATTGATTGAGACAAAACACACAAAGGCTATATGCCTAAACAAGAGGAATGCCCTCGTGGAGGGCCTTCTAAAGAAAACTGGCGTACATTCACGTTCCATATGGAGAAACTCACGAATACACCGTTTGGTAGGATTCGAACCTGATGCCGAACTACTAGTGGTGAGCGAGTTTATCCTTTCGGCGGCTTGTGGGCTATTCTTGCTCGAGATACGTTAAAACATGTGTAATTTTTTTGTTTACATCACCAAACTCATAGTTTCAAAAAAGAAGGCTACAATAGTTCAGATTTAATTTAGAAAATATCGTAGAATTTTATACATTAGTGTTCCGTCCGATGGTGTCAAAAATTAAATAATCCAAAAAGCGAATTTAAAGCTTTCCTAAAAGCATTTTAGAATAAAAGACGCCTTTCTGGTGGCGAAAGCGTTCCTTATTTGAAATCATTTTTCTTTATAAATACTTACTTTCTATTTAAAACATTAGGACGTTTTACATTTCTAATATGCATCTGATGGAAAAACAAAAATTTTTAAAAAGAATATTTTGGGTGCGATAACTTTAGAATAGTAAGTGCCGTTAATCTGTTACTGTTGTAGCAGTAATTAGCGGGTGTTGGTGAGTCTTTTCTAAAAAATATAATTCCTTTTTTTTTTTTTTTTTTTTTTTTTTTTTTTTTGTGTTGTCTTTATGAATTAGAAATGTCGTACACATAACAAGACGTTCTCCTCGAAAACCTAATTTTAACCAAAAAATACCCTTTTGAGGCATTTAATTTAATATCTACAATTTCACAGCGCAAAATAAATAATATTTTTACTACTGAAGATTCGGATTTAAACTCATTATTGGAGATTGGATTGTATGTTCATTATTGCAGAAGTTCCTTTTTATTTATTTATTTATTTATTTATTTTTTATAATTAGATCTCTCTTTCATTTCTGTATATAAAATACCATGTATATCTGAACACAAATCAATCCATATATAAGCCGAGAGGTAAGGTTTTGCTGTAAATATTCAGCCAAAAGTGAAGATCCGTGTATAAGCCGTATTTAAAATCACCTCATAAATTCAGCTATTCGTGTATCGTCAAAAGATTAAATAAGTGGTCATCTAATTTAAATAGGCCTACCAGATGAGCCGAAGGTGAGTGTGCATTCACCTTCAGCTTTCATTCGAAGATAGATATAAGTATCCTGTAAAATGAAAAGGTATTTTTGTCATTAATAGTTTCTCTTTCTTAATTCTTCCATCGTTCCAATGCTCTACATTTGGCTCTTTGAGTTTGGTTCATAGAGGTTTATACTCTCAAGCACAGTCAAGATTACCTACACCCCCCCCCCCAGTTGTACTCTCTTTTCCGAGTAAAATACCATTCTCCACATTTTTATTCCCAAGTGAAATATACTCAGACAGAAAAGAATAGTTTATTCTGTTAGAGTTAAACTAAAAGTAAGGTATTACTTTTTATAAGCAATGTTATGAACGTAGCTGAACATGATATCATTTACAAGGCGGATGATAACGGTGAAATGGAGAACGATGACATTCACCCGGACTTGCCTCAAGCAAAGACTCCAGACAACTGCTAGAAAATTTTGAATTAGAACCAATATTAATAAATTTGATTAATGCATATTAAAAGAAAATAAAATAAAAACAATATTTCTTGCATTATTTAACCTATGATATCAGTTCTGTGATTGAATTATATGCAAACAATTTCGAACTTGCATATAAAGCGATCCCAAAACTTTAATAGCAAAAGATTTTCTAAAAATTGTCGGCTTGTACTCGGAATAATGTGGTAATTTTTATAAATACTGGAACATAAAACGAGTATTTTTCCTTTACAGCTAGATATAGATAGCCTGCATATGCTGGTCGCAACAGATGGTAAGCAGGTTTTTAGAAAACATTGTTGTTTTAAGGCATAGTTTTCCAAACTTTTGTGGTTCGCGGAAGCAGAAGGATCTCAAAGCATTTTTATTAATTAACCTTTCAAAACATGCATATTCCCTGTTACAGAACGCACAGTGGCATACATTGAAAGCACGTGTTATTTCTGTGTGCAGAAAACCAGTTTTTTTATGTTGGCTTTTGTAGATGGTTTATTTGTTAATGTATAGTGTAAGAACGTAAATAACGCCTGTGTTCATTATCAGAATATCTTAAACTATATTTATTTGGATGGTCAAACCTTTATAAGCTTGAGTTTAATCCTTCAAAATCGAAAATTATGATACTATATAAAAATTATTATCTTCTCAAAATATTGATTTAACTCTCTGGAGTGAGTCTATTGAAGCAGTAAATCACAAATTCAAGAACTATTGTGGACAATAAACTACAATGGAAACAACATATTTCTTATAAATCTAGTAAAACTGATAAAGTTTTTCATAGTTTACTGCAAATGTCAAAGAACACTTATAGGATTAACAGATTTATAGCCAAAGCATTGTACCATTCACTTCCTATTTCCTCAGGAGCTTCGGGAAATTCTTTACGAAAGAAAATAAACTGCAAATTTCTTCTAAGAGTTCAAAAAAGATTTTTTCTTTTGCATTATTCGGGGTTACAGGACTGTCAGTTATGAGGCAGCATTCGTCCTTTCTGGTCTCCTCTTGCTGATTTAATAATCTTAACTGATCTTGATGTTAGAGGTAGACTTACAAATGACAACCATTGCAGTATCTTGAATAGCATGATTCCTTTTCATAGTCGCCTCACCCATGAAACACAAAAATACTTGTGATAGCGGTTACCTAAGAGACTGATGTTTTTCAAGAATATAGAAATATTTATTTCACTGATGCTGGTAAGTTAAATGAAAAGGTTCGCCTTGCTTTTGTTATCTATGAAGATGGAAAACAGAATACCAGATGAATATTTTGTTTTCTAGGCCGAAATCCTGAGCTTAAATCTTGCACTTAAATGGGATACAAAATTCGTATCTTACGAATGAAGACGTTTAAATACCTTACTCGTTCACTTTCTTCTCTCTTTCTTCTACGTGATATACAATCAACAGAAAAACTGGTGATGGAAATTCACTCTACATTACGTTGCGTTTGAGGAAACTGCAGATATTCATTTTGTTTAGTTCGAGGCCTCTCGGTAATAAAAGGGCTGACCAATTGGCTAAGCAAGCGACTTATCGTGATACTGATTTAATGATTCCTATTCCCAAGTCTTATTGGAAGCATGTTGCTTGAGATAAAACTGTGGTTTATCGGAATGCTGAATACCTTGCTTCTTTGAAGGCTCTGTGGGCAAAGAAGTTTTTTCCCAACGGTTTTTCAATAACTTATGTTTAAGCATATTCAGCCGGATTATAAACTAACTCAGATTTAACTTGTCATTGGAATTTTATAAATTACTCATCCCCTTTTAATATCGTAACGACTGGACTTTGCGCTTGCGGCGATGCAGTAAAAAATCTACAGTATATCTTATTGCACTACAGGTTATATGCGCGTGAGAGAAGTATATCTAAGATGAGTTTAAGGCATCTCTCTACTTGCTGGCCTCCTGTTTTCTCTGACCTTGTCAGGAGTTAGGAGCAGCTTTATTTCTTGTTTAAATTTTTAGTATTACTTTTTTTAATATATATTATTGCGTTATTGTCTTTTTATGTGTCACTGTATTATTATTGTATTTTGTCTCTGTATGATTACATTATGTATCGTATTATTGCGGTATCATATCTCCTTTGCATCAGTACTATTTTTTGCGCATTATTAGCCCGATGGGCGTTAGCCCAGAAGAGCAACTAATTTCAAAACAGCATTTTGCATCGATTAACTTTTCAAACTGTTGCCACCAAATATTATCGCTATGCATTATATTTAAAGAAACTAAATAATGAAGAATCTGCATGAATGCAAGAATGTTTCTTGCATTGTGCAGAAACAACGGTACCTAGAGCCTTCAAATTTTGAATAACGTAGTCCTCCAATCGAACATGGCACTTGGAAGACCAAATTTAGAATTTTGAATTTCTTTTTTATTTAATAAAATTTTGTAAAATCTTAACGAATTTTTGATTAACAAACTCAACGATTTCAAAATCAACAATGGCAACACTGATATAAAATTTTTATCCCCAGCGCATCCAAAACTTTCTTAGAATTTGCGACTGTGTATCGCAAATTCTAAGGATATACTGTTTTTAAATATTTTGTGATATTGCTGTTGAATTGAAGTTTATGTGTTTTAAGTGCGAAGAATATGATGTTTAATAAATAAAGGTAATTCACAAAACGTTAAAAAAAGGCCTTTTGGGCGTAATACAAAATCTGAAAGATTTCAGATTTATTATTCTTATTATTATTTATTTTCTTTTTAGTAGTACTACTATCATAGTTTTATTATTTTATAGTATACTTTAGTGTTGTTATTATAGTAGTATTTATATTATTATGGTTTTTCCTCTATCTCCAGAGCTAGATATTATATATTATTGTTGTATTATATGCCCTTTGTATTATTGAGTTATTTACTTACTTTTGTAAGCCGCGTGACATACTTTGTAGAACACGAGGAGTTTTGGATTTGTTTTCTTAAAAAAGTGTTTTATAATATTAGCATACTTTTATTAATTTATAATATTAGTCTGATAGATTTCATAATTTCTTTCTCTCGGAATAGAAAATCAGCATACAGTTGCAGGCAATATAGATTAACGTAGTGAAATGTCGATTGATGTGATTTGGTATGATTTGGTATGACGTGATTCAGGCAGTAAAATGTTTATAGTGTGTTTTTATTGCCCACTTGCTTTTCAATACCCCCTTACTGCCCCTAGGACAATTAACGACTCCCTATTACCTCAACATCCACTGCTGGGTAATAACATACACGTTGGAAAAGCTTATCCTGCATGCGCAATCAATATTAGTAATATTGTATTGCAATTTTTAAGTAAAATGAGAGTTATGGAAAAGCCCCAGAATGAACGGGAAAAGAATTATAAAAAAGTCTATTTTCAGTATTCAAGCCATTATGGAGAAATCACGAGAATTTCTTTTTAATGGCTTGAGTGCTGAAAATTATTAATGGTTTAAATATCATTTTATGACTTAATTATTATTTAATGCTCTGAATATTAATTTAATGGCTTGAATATTGAAAATTACGAGATACTGCATGTCTTCTAAATTATAACTAGCAGACATGTTTATACTTCATAATTCTATTTCAGAAAGGGCATACAACCTTTCCTATTGAAATTTCACTTACTGGTACATGAAGTTTTATAAGCTTCCTGGCAAATTATTTGTAAAGAACATAAAACCCTTTGATTATTGGACTTATATAGCGATTTTTAAGGAAAAAGGGGGCAATTTTTAAATACAATTATGTATTCTTTAACGCAGTAATTTAAAATTTTACCCTAAATATGTTGAAAATACGATCATTCATGTAATGCAGCCAATTTAAAAATATCATTTCCCCCCTCAATGTGTTTTTGTGGATTGATTCTATCCAGGGGACTGTGTCAGTGGATAAAAGATGGCAACTAAATATGACGGATAATCGAGATTCCACTGGTTTAGAAAACAATGTAATGTAAAGGAAAAACTAAATACTCGACCAAGATTTTGCATTCTGATGAAGAATGCAGTATTTTGAAGTATTTAATTAAACCACGGGCTTAAGACGACAGTGTTTCATAGCATAGTCTACTGATAGTGAATTTAGCTTCTCACTCCTACCATTTTGCTGAAAAACATAAGAATTTTAGCTGTGTACTCTAGGTTTCGGTAACAGATAATTAAATTTACTAATTTGTTGTGTAACTAAATTTAATTTAATACCATTCCTAAAGCAACAAAAGCTTAGCCTCTCTGATTGGTATAGTGATTAGCATTGCTGGCTGCCCGGGTTCGAATTACGGAGAAGTCTTTGATGTTTGTAGGCATATAGTGCTCTTGCCGATGGGGGCACTCAAAACGCACAGTAATCGAACAGCCGAAAACTTTCTCAAGTAGCTTGGTGGTAAAAGAAATGGACATGGGAGACTTTCAGACATGTCGTCAGGGGAATTTTACAGCGAAGTTGGGACGGAACTGGGCAAAGTCATACTTCCACATGGTAAGGTTCTCAAGGCTCATGCGAAAGATAGGGGTAATCCTGCGCTCCTTACCACGATAAATTGTAAATTGCATATTCTATGTGTTTGATTTCTCACTATTACAGCCAAGTAAAGCCCATTGCAAGTGAAGGATATTTAGAGAAACAACCACAAGTATGGCTTATTAAACAACTGACCTTTTAATAGTCTCCAGTCAAAGTTAGCTGTGAGTTAATTCCAATATAATATACTGAAGCCAATATCTTACTTGAAACGACCTAATATCTCTAACGTTCCCCACTAAGAAGTGAGGTATGTTAAGACATTCTAAACATTATTTGCGAAATTTTGTTTAGAACTCCTGCAGTGTTAATAAAAATGGATTTAAATTATATATATCGATCAAGCAATATTTTAGAGTAAATCTTAACAAGAATGATTTTAATTGCTTGGAAAGAGTTCCATGTACAAAAGCTAAAAGGACCTCCAATCAGTTATATCGCTTCAGTCATTGGGCCTTATTCCCTAACGCATTGGAAGAAAGCTCTCCATTTAAAAGAAGTTTTCTTATTTAAAATTAGAAGCATATGTAAATAGTTTAGTAATAATAGTTAAAACATTAATCAGTTTACCGTATCTAATTTTGCGTTTTGTGCCTTAGATTACGGCAAAACACAGAAGAGCTAATTTCCCCAAAGCAAGGGATCCTTCGTGGAGGATTTCTTAAAGAAAACTGACTCGCAGTCATGTTATAAACGAACGAAACAGCAAATAGTTGTTTAGACCCGCTCACCCGTATTCTGACCCGCGTTGAACTGCCACTTCTTGCCGTACGGACGCTGGGCAAATGACTTTGCATTCAAATTTGTACCTCACAGTATCTTCAGTATTAAATTAGGGTGCTAATTCTGGACAAAAACGGAATAAATTTGCAAAAATATTTAAATATAAAATTTCAAACTTTAAAATATATTCACGTAAACTTATTTTGAAATGTACTGGTTTTAAACAAAAAGTTTTTATCAAACTGTAAACGAGCATTAAATTAATATGCATAAAGAATATTCATTATTGCATAATAATCAGAACAGTAATTTTATCCACGAAAAAAGATGCAAATTCATTCGGAAAAAAAAAATGGAACGCCTCAGGAGGAAGTGTATCAGATAGTAAGTACACAAAGCAACTAACGTAACTAAATAAGCACAATTATGTATTTTTAAAGTTGAAACTTGTGCTTCTTTGGCACCACTTCTAAATCAAGAATCTAGAGTAATAAAGCTTGGAAGAAAAAGCATTTAAATGCTCCATATGCTCAACTTGGCTTAAACAAAATGGGAGTTGCGATTTCTGCAAAATAATTCGCCTCTATTCGTCTAATTTAATATTCAGCATAAATTCAACACCTTTCAGCATAAAATAACGATAAATAATATAAAAAATGGAAATGATTGTAAACAGCAAAAATGTGCAGATTTGTGTTTTGGGCATGATGCCAATAACTCATAAATATAGCTCTTTCATTTGTGCACGAATTTCCGCGAAACTGATCGCGGAAAGTAGTGCTACTGTAAAATTAGTATCCTAATAATAATGCATAAAATTGTCTTTTCAGTGTGTACAAGATATGCCTTCGGAAGATATCCACAATGTAAGTAGATTTAACATCATACTTTATTATCTTTATAACTCTATCATACCCCTATAAAATTTTACAGATATTTTCATTTGCTTATATTATTAATTATCTTTTCTTAATCAGTCATGTGAAAAGTTCTGAATGTGCTTTAATACTATAGCCAAGATTCAACTTCTAAAACAAGAAGCACTGGAACTCTATAGAATGCCATCAGAAGCGAGAAAATAAATAAATAAATGAATAAAATGATAGATAAAGCAATGAATAATTAAATAAAGAGATAAAAATATTATTACATTAATTTAATAATAATAAAGTAAATAATGAATTAAAATGCCATAAATATTAAATGAAAGGGAGAAATTAATAAAAAATTAACGTAAATTCGAAAACACTAAGTAAAGGTGATTCAAGAAATGAAAGGCAAGTAAGCTCATAATAACAAGATATGGATACAGGTGATAAAATGTAGCTTTTTTTTCTCTCTCTCTCTCTCCCCTCTCCCCTTCCAAATGGCCGGACATTTATAAGACATGATGTAGAGAATAAAAGGTAGGTTTTCTTTCTCTTTTGTTTAAAATGGCTGAACAAATGTATGATCAAACTTTAGGATTAGGATCCAACAACGGAAATATAATACATATTTTAATTTAAAAAGAAGCAGAAAAAATATCACACATTTACTTTTGCTGATACTTCTTGTTTCTTTTGAAAAAATATAAGGTACTAAATGATCCAATGAAAAGGCGGGAGGCAATATCAATATGATGCTGAGAGCTTTTAAATGCTCTGATCTTGAGCGGTTTCATAGCTCACTTGTTCGTGCTCTGCAATGATGGCTAATGGAGGATTTAAAGCTTAGAATTACTATCTCATTAGTTCACTTCGAATCTTTCATAGATCACAAGAATTCGTACATGAACACGAATTAAAAATTGGCAGTGAATGATATAAAGTTACATCACCTGTAAATATGTATGGGGGAAATTTAAAATTCTTGCAACCTACCGCCATACTTTGGTAAAACAGTAAAAACTCTAAACACAAAATTTACGAACTTACTTTTGAGTAGAAATAAAGTAAAATTAAATAAGAATGATAGTACTTGAAGCTTTGAAACAAATTAAACAAGATCTGATGTATATATTTTTAAATTTTATGAGCATTTTCAGGCATTGGTTTATAAAATTATTATAACATTACAAGACGATCATTTATTTGATCATATGATTATTAATTATTAACATCATATGATGATTATTTATTTTAATAATTCATAAAATTTGGAGCATAAACTTTTCTCAGTGTAATGAAAATAAATAAATAAATAGAATCTGGAAGCACTCAGATTTTATGTTACGCTTAAAGGGACGTTTTTAATGCTTTGTGTGTTACCTCTATTTATTGAATATCATATTCTTCGCACGTAAACCACACAAAATTCATCTCAACAGCATTATCACAAAGTATTTGAAAACAGCATATCTTTAGAGTTTCCGCGCTGGAGATAAAAATATTATTTTCTGTACAGTGTTGCCATTACTCGCTTTGAACTCGTTGAGTTTCTTAATCAAAAATTCATTAATGATGATGGTGTGATCAAGGTGACAGCCGGGAATGCGTCAGAAGAGGGAGAAAAGCCATTTGGGTTGGTCTATTTCTTATAAGGTCCATGTTACCATCGAGATAGATCAACATCCCCAAGAACTTACTCAGACCCCTAGAACTGTATGTATTCAGGTTGTGTTGGATAGATTAGGCCTGCGCTCTGAATCGAAACTAGCTTGTGACGTCACGGTTAAGGCACCGAGACCCTCAACAATAACCCCACACAATGACACTCCCCGAAACTTTCTCCGCATTCTTTGTCCACCCACATATCAGTAGCGAATTAGTTCTGTTTCCACGATTCCTCTTAACAGCGTTTTTCAAAATTCTTCCTGTTTCCACGAAATCGGGCAGTACAGTCTCTCTTTCGCAGCTCCTCAGGAGATATCCAGATGAGTCATTAAGAAGTGCTGGGCAGTTTCAATGTGAATAAGTTAGTCTTCATTAGACTGGAGACGTGTCTTAATTTAGGCTTCTCTCTAAATCTTTAGTTTCCTTCTATTTGTAATTCTGCTACAGTTAAATAGCTTTTATTTTCACATCAATATGGATGTTTTAGACATTATTGAAACTAAAAGGGGGGAAAAACCTTTTAGCCTTTTATAAAGGTTATCAATATCGAATTCGGAAAAGAAATAAGGAAAATGTAGTTTATTGGATTTGCATAAATGAAGGAATGAAAAGCTGCAAAGGCGCAGTTAAGACCAAAGCAGAAGTCGTTTTAGAAGAAAGAACGTCATTTTAGAACTTTGTTTTAGAACGACTATTTATTCTGAAAGATTTTATTATAACTCACCTTTATACAGAATTTCAGAAAAATATTATTTTTACTTTAGGAAACGATCTTTTAGATCATTCCCAAAATCATCGCAGAGTTTAAACATCTCTCTCTTGTCTTTTAAATACAGTATTAGTTTCATTCGTGCAAATATCTGAGATCGTAAATATTTTTCGATTATTTCTTTTAAAAATTCTCTCTCTCTCTCTTTTTCAGTAAGTCACCTCAGTAAGCTTCCTGTCTCTTAACGCTGTTAGACATCTCGATAGTGACGGCTCATCCGAGTTGTGCGAAAAATCCAACTACACTCGAACGGTGCACATACTTCAGAAACGGTTAAATGACGTTTCTTTGGATGCTTTTTATTGTTAGGTAAAAATTTATTGGAGAGTGCTGTTATTAAATTTCTGAGGGTAATAGTCTATTCCCACTAGTTCATTGACGCCTCCGTTAAAATAATTATTTAAAAAGCCATTTCATCCAGATATCTTAACGTTTTGTAACAAATACTGTTTACTGTGAGTATCATAAATGAAACAGGTTTATAGAAATCATGGTTATAAATAAAGCACGTCTAACTGCAAAAAGTTTAGTGTGAAATTTTTAATTTTTTGTCACTATCATCTGCCTCCAATATAACTCTAATGATTATGATGAAATTTTATAATAACTTAAATTATAAGCTTCTATATATATATATACTTCTGTTTTTTTTAAATATTATTCAAACATTAATATACCCTTTTTAATATTTCGACGTTGTACTGTTTAAAATAAATGCAGAAACAAGCAACGCAGCTCTTAAAATTGAATTCCTCTTTGAGTTTTTGAATTTTGTTGAACAAAAATTAAGACTAAGTTTAACATTAGATATTATTTTTATTTAGGAAAGGAAATATAAATATTTGTATACATTTTTATCATATGTTTTAATGTTTAAAGCATTTAAGGGTAAACTCCTCTTCGTGGCTTTAGAATGCAATTTGAAATTTTCATGATGCATTCCGCCGTATTTCTTTTTTTATTCTTTTCTTGCTACATGGAGTCCTCTTGAATATGGCAAAGTGCACGAGGGTAATCTGCCTACCTTTGCGGAGGATTTTCTAATGGAAAACTGGCTCTTATTCAAAATACTCTGCCATTTGTGGGGCATGCTGAAAATAAAGAATTTTTAAATTGCGAAGATTTTTTAAATGAATATAATTGTAGCACATTGAATTCTTTTAAGAAATGCTAAGAATAAATTTTCTGAATTTTGGCACGAATGTAAACTATGATTTAAAAGTACTTCCAGAGGCATTAAAACATGAAAGGAAAATGAGAGTTAAATTCACTATATCATATATTTTTGAACAATTCTTTTGATTGCCAAACATTTTAGCTTGTTATTTTATTTCATTCTTGTACTTAACCTGAACTTTGAATTTTTAGGGACAATCTCAAACCAAAGATCACACTGACATTAAAGAAAAAGTAAGTATGTTTCGCAAAATAATGTCATTTTTTGCAATTAATCGAAAGAAGAGACGTCATAATTAGATACAAAATGGTTAAGAAATAGTAAGTAAAATATTAACTCTGCATTCAAAAGTTTACAGTAGCAGAGTTTCCAAAAGTAAGTTAGAGTGCTAATTCTGCTAAGTGAAAAAAAGTTTCCAAAACAGCAGGGACCTAGAAGTTCTAGTTAGTTTTCAGTTTTCAAGCAGAATTGTTTGAACTACTATATATAAATAGCATTAAAGTAATATTCTTTAATAATACTAACTAATGCTACATAAATTTTGTTGACAGAAAATTTCCAGGGCTTTCTTTCTTTCTTTTTTCTTTCTCCCTTCCCTGTTTCTCTCTCTTTTAAATTCTTCAAGGCACGGCATTATCTATTCCCCGCCTCCGAATAAATTTAAAAAAAGGGAAAGGCAGATGCGAAACTAAGGCATAAATTCATAAGAGGAAACTGGAGCAATAAATGGTTCAGAACATTTAAATAAATTTTAATGAAAATGTAAAATAACAATAAGGTAAAATATAAAAATTTTGTATCGAAATAAAAATTAAGTCTCTGACGAAAATTTGAATTACTGTTTAGAGACAGTATAGAGGTAGAGGTATTTTTTGAAAGCAGAAGACATGAAAAATGGGCAATGCCCTCGCCGGGATTCGAACCACGGACCCCTCGAATACGCGTTGAGCGGGCTGACCACTACACCACGAAGACATGCTAAGGCGGGAGAAATATATTATGTACTCCCCCTTTTAAAGGGCGACTGGGTATTAGGGGACTCAATCGACAAATCCTGGTGGTGGAGAATCATCGTCCACCACCTTTTTTTAGTTCGGCAGCTATTGTAGAGACATTAGGTATTTTTTGAAAGCAGGAAACATGAAAAATATGCAATGCCCTCACCAGGACTCGAACCATGGACATTTCGAATACGCTTCGAACGTGCTGACCACTACACCACTAAGGCAGTCTAAGAAGGCAGGAGGAATACCTTATATACTCCCCCTTTTAAAGGGCGTCTGGGGATTAGAGGACCAAATCGGCAAATCCTGGTGGTGGACAGAATCATCATCCACCACCTTTTTTTTTTTAATTCGGACGCCACTGTAGAGACATTAGGTGATTTGGAAGCTGGAGACGTGAAAAATGAGCAATGCCTTCGCCGGGAATCGAACCGCGGACCTCTGGAATACGGGACGAGCATACTCACCACTATACCACGAAGGCATGCTAAGAAGGCGGGAGAAATACCTTATAATTGTTTTAAACTGTAATAGAAAAGGCTCTGAGTAACATTTATGTTAAGTTATTAACAGTGTGAAATTCAATGTAATATGAAGAGTTTTACAATAAATATAAAGTTTCAGACTGTAACTGTCGCAATACTTTTTTTCATTAAAACCGATCAGAAAGTTTAAAGCATTTTAATTTTTAATCTGCAAGTAAGCATAGGCCTGTTTTAGTTAATATTTAAGTTATCTTTATGGGACTTCATGTCTGAGACATGGCATAAGGTATGTACAACGGTTTTGATTTATATTTGCTTTAAATGTATATCATACTCTGAAAATATTTGCCATTTTTTATCATTAAAATTGAATTTACTTATTTTTAAATTAATTAGTTTGATTTTTTTTATTTTTATTTATTTTTTTTTTTTATTGTCATTTTGTTAAGTTAAATGTTCGTATTTAATTTTTACTTTCGAAAGCTATACTGAAAAAAATTAATTAAATGCTGTATTTAAAAAGAAAGTTATGTAACAAGTATGAGAATAATAATTTCGTATTATTTAAGCTGAGGTTTGAACTGCGTTTTATGCTAATTTTGGTTGCATATTTGCATTCGGCAATGCTACCTCTATCTATCTCATATGTAAATTGCATGTTTTAATATTCTTTTTTACATTCGTACCTTTTTTTTTAGCGTCTGTTGATTATTTTTTGAGCACGAGTGTACGTACGTATATACGTACGTGCGTACGACATCCCGAAAAAAATCATTTTTTGAGTCCACTTTAAAGTGAAAAAGGAAAGAAATTAAATAAAATTGCCAACATCAGTTAAATGCATTGTTATCTTTTCCATTTAATCACATATTCTCTTCCTCTCACACATAATGTCCACCAATGGCTAAGTGAATGAGACCGTTTGGAAGCTGGGAATTGAAATGAATATCGAGAAACGAGCTGACTAAATGGACATTTTCATCGGCGATTTCGAAGCGAACTGTCCTTAAATTTTCTTGTAGCACGTAAAAATCTGCAGAATTCTAAATATCCTAATTCATTCATCTACAATTTAAAATATTGTCTACTAATTTTCCTCTTTTAGAAAGAATTCAAATAAAATAAGGGTTTATCAGCAATCTATCAGTAAGTCACCGAATACTGGTAGTTCGACCTGGCCTCAAATTCCGAGCAACGATCTGCTTACTCGACCTTTTTCATGTCTTTTCTCATGTACTATAACGCTAATACGAGCCAGTTTACCGCGAGAAGGTCATCCCTGCCCTTACCTCTTACACTGATAGCAATAATCAAAAGAAACCAAACCAAATAAAATAAGAGAACAAAAGAAATGCTTAAAAGGTATAGCTTATATACTTCTGTGTAAATTAGCTTCAAATAATTTAAATTCTATTTTGACTGACTAGCAAGTTATCGCTTCGGCTGAGAGAGTACGACACAGTCAAGGAGGTTTTAAATTGCATTTTTTTATTAAAAGCTTGAACTTGACAAATTTCATAATGTGCGAATATTGAATCAAATCGTACACATAAATAAAATTCATGAGATTTCCAAACGTAGAGGACTACACCATCTTTAATGCTACTTCAGTTAACAGAAATTCAGTGAACTGCTTCAGTTAGCAGTTACACTCACAAATCAGAACCTATACATATTTTACTCGGATGGACGGTTTTGCCATCTACACATATAAAAACACTTCGTTAGAGTAACACAACGATAACATATACACACACGAACTCAAAAAAAAAAAAAAAAAAAAAAAAAAGTGGCTAGCTGGCATACGTTTTTTAAACTAGAAGTTGCCAGCTTCTTCAAGTTAAACAAAATTCAAAAATTAGATCTTGGTGTCACTTCTTTTCGGCGACAACACACAACATGTGCGCGCAAATTAAAATTCAGCCACTTGTGGGTATTAGATAACAAAGTCAAATCCACAAATTAAAGTAATTTGTAGCAGGAGACTATAATACTAATATCCTAGCTAAGCGTTGACTGAAATTAATGTTGTCTTATCTTCCATTAATGTTGTCTTGCCCTCTTTCTTACGAAGACAAAAAATATAATATCATCTGCAAATGTAGTGTGTTGAGACCAGTTGTCGGACAAGAGTTCTTTCAAAACAACGATAAGTATATTGTTCGCGGAAAGCTACAGTTATGACCAAGTGCATCACGATGCAGATTAAGCTTGAAAATCCCTACTCCAGGGCTATAGAAGAAGAGCCTTTATACTGTATTTTCTCGAATAAGCTGTCTACTATTTACATTATACATTGGGAAAAGCAAAAATAAAATAGTCAATATATTCAGCCTATTTACAGGGAGCCGGACTCATGTCGAGCTACTTGTGCTCAGCGGATTTATCCACTCGGTTACTGGTAGACGGTTGCAGCCTAGTCTTTCTACAATTGCATTACGTTCCTTTTTCAGATGTCCTGTCTTTGCTTTATTCTCCTCAGCCTCAACTTTTGGATGTCTCTCTCAATGTATGCAGCATACGGTTATTTATGGCGTGTTAAATTTATTATAGAGCATTGTTCATTTGAGCATGAACCACTGCATTATGAATAAAATACTTTTCCATACATCATGAATTGCGTTCTTTTCTTCATACTTAGTCATTTATAGCATGTATTAAGTACTAAGTAAGTATAGTATGTATATAGCATGCATTAAGTACTAAGTCAGTACTAGTACGTTTTAAGTACTGAAATAAGTCTTTTTTTTTTTTTTTTTTTTAAGGAGAAAGATTACAACAGAAGAGAGTCTAACGTCACAGTCATCGTAAGTATGGAGAATAATATGTAGCTTTTTTAAAAATTTCTAATAAAAGTTGGCTGTGAAATGTATTTTTACTATTTGATGTGGAAGAGCAGACATAACAGTTCAAAATCAAAACTAACATTTTAATCTGAGCGATGAGTAGAATTATTAGATAATTTTACAACACGCGATGATAGGGAAAGAAATTTGGCTAGCTGGTTTGTGTTTCTTTCCGATATATAAAATTAATAAAGTAACAGAAACTTTCATAACAGGACGAAGGTTTTCTCCATATTGTAGTTCTCACTGTTTGCAACCTTACCTTAATCTTACCTTAATTTACCTTAATCTACCCTAAATTTATCTCCTAAAGTTTTAATATTTAACTCAAAATTCCTACTAATCCCTCGCAATAGATTTCATGTTTTTATTTCCAGCCACAATCATCAAGCGTTGCATTTCTTCAATTACAACTCCAGCCAGAAAAAAAACCTGCTAAATATTACGCAAAAATATTCCCCTTTAACTTTTACCATTAAACTGTCTCCTCTCCTAGCTTTTCTTTCCTTCACAATAGCCTTTACCTTTCCCCCCCCCATCCACTCCTCGCGCTTCCAAAAGTTCTCCAGTCATTTTCGCAGTTAAGCGACTAACGGTTTCCCTGCGGGAGGTCGGAGTGAAAACTCCCCCCCACCTACCCTATCGCTCCTCTCTTCTCTCCTCTCCTCCGCCATTTTTGGCCCCTCTTCAGCCATCTTTGGTCCTCTGACCGCTGCGAATTTCATCCGAAATCGCCTGCGATCTCTTCGATCTTTCTTATCGCACGGGTCACTCGACCCTCCCTTAGCGAAATTGAAAGTCGAAGGAACTTCTCGTCCCTTGAGTGGACTCCTCATTCATCACTGGTTTTTAAGCCCTTAACGGCTTTCATTCCTCACTTTAGCTATGCTCAATCTTAATTATTCAATATTTTCTTAACGAAGTTGTGGAGGTTATTGCATTTATTTGCAAAGGTACTCCGGAAGCAAAACGCCTTGGGCCGTTTGCAAACTAGAACTCTCACCAGCTAGAGGGGGGAAAAGTGAAAAGGCTTAACATCACTTACGCAAAGATTGAAGCAACTAAAAACACTGGCTTTCTTGAAACTTACTGGTAGCATAGTGCCAAATTTTACATAATACTTAATTCTTTCACCTACCATTTAAGTACTCTTTATTCAAAAGAAGAGAACGAAAGACAAATGGTAAAACGTAAAGCTGGTTAGTTATCTAATATTAAATCTTATATTTTCCTATTGTGTCCTATTTTAATGTTATAAAGGTTTTTATCCTAGTCCTTCCGTTCTTTTGCATCGTCTTTAGTTTTGAGCTATCTGTTCAATGTCTTCACTGTCCCGCATTAAGCTTCCACACCGCATGGCGTTTTGAGAATTGCTACTAATAGATGTTTTGTAATTTCTTTTCCTTAGCATTAAAACTATACAAACATTGTTGTTAACAGAATGATGTTTAATAATTTTTGTGCAGAAAGAAGAAGAAAAGGAATGAAACTGCCGTGGAAGAATGGATCGTTATTTCTTCGTAAGTATAGCCATGCGAAATATATTCTACTTTAATAAATCTTCGTCAAATTTTGGTTGTAAAAACTTATTAATATTTGAAAAAAAAGAGATGACGAAGAAAGGTAAAAGTTTTGAGCATTAAATAACTCAGCCCATGAGCACAATATAAAGTAAATATTTTATGTAAATACTCTTTACCAATTTTCATCTAAGAGAAGATCGGGAAAGATTCACATGAAACAAGAGACCTAATGGAAAATAATGAAACGTAAATCTGATTAGTTGACTTGAAAACTCATATCTTCATATTTTGTCCAGTTTTAATTTTATAAACGCCTTATATTCGCGTCTTTTTATTTTTCTCCTTTTCTGAAGTCTCTGTTTAATGTCCTCGCTTTGCTGCATTAAGCTTCCACGACACATGTCGTATTGCCAGTTCTGAGAGTTGTTGCTAATACATGCGTCATAATTTCTTTGCTCTAGCATTAAAATTATGAGCGTGAATAGCTTATCAATACGCTTCTTTGTTGTTAATGATGTTTAGTAATTGTTGTGTAGAAATAAAAAGTATTGTATGTTTTATAGGATCAGGGAGGAAGAATGGGTAATTGTTCCCTCGTAAGTATGACCATGTTAAATAATTTTTTAACAATTCTTTTTAAAATTTTGGTTGTAAAATTTTATTCTGAAAAGTAAAAGATGATGAAGAAACGTGAGGGTTGATTATTAAAGAACGCCATCTTGGCCCAATGTAAAAAAGAAAAAAATCAGAATGTTAATGAAAATATATATATATTTCACAAGAGATAAGTTCTTTCTATGAAAACAGGAAAAAGGGACTGAATTTATCAAAAGGAAATTAGATATATTTATGGGAGCTTTAAATTTAAGCTGAAACTCCAACAAAATATAAAATAAATCAAAAATTTATGACTGAGGAATTATTCATGTTTATTATAATTTTGACGTATTGTGAAAAATACTGCTGTACAAGATATACGTTTCAATTTTTATCATCATAGTATCATAATATTTTGTCTCAAAAACAGCTTTAATAATAATTTTAATTACACAGCACGTTTGCTCAATTCTTAACATTATACTTATATTTTCTTGCTAATAAAACTTATTCTTGATCATCCAAACATGTACTGACTTTCGATTCCTTTTTATTAGAAGTGCCACAAAAACGCAATTAATGCTTGTAATTATTTTACTTTATAAAAAGTTAACTTTTCTAAGCATTTATTAGCGTTTCTTTTAATATAAATTACAGTATGTATTATTTCTTTTCCAGGCTGTTTATGCAGCGCATTAGATATTGTAATAGAGCTATTTTAATTTTCCTGTGTCACAAATTTTCATTTTTGGCATAAAACGAAAAACACATTCTGGTATATAATAATTATGTATTTTATTCAGTAAAACTTCAATTAAGTAACAGCCTATGGGGTAGGGGAAGAAAAAAGGAAAACAACTTTCGGTTAGCTTGGCACTTCGGGAGTCAACATTTCAGTGCCACGAGACGTTCTCAGTTAATTTAATCCAGTCTCTATTGAACAAGGACCGAAATGTTCATGTTTCAACAGTGGATAGTTAAGATTTCTATTAAAAATTTTTTCATTGGAATAAATTTCGTATTCATGTTGGTTATGTGCTTTCATTTTCTTAAAATACCTCTTCTTTGGCAGATTGCCTTGTTTTAAGTATTTTAGCTTTGCTGCGTTCTAACGAATCCTACAGCTTGAGCTATGAGATAATTTTTAGTGGATCGTGAAGCGTTTACAAATTTTGTTTGTAGATGTATATATATTTATTTGCAGTGTACAGGTTACTTTATGTTTCTAACAGCTATTGTAAGTTTAAACATGCTTTACTGTCTATTCTTGTTTCCCATCTACTATTAACTACTAGAATGAGTTTTTACTATCGCGTTTTAGTTAGAAGTATTTAAGGAAGGTTCAACTTACTCCGAGAGAAAGAGCTTAGGAGTCCTTCGTGGCGCGTGTTTGCCGTCTGACTATTTCATTCTTAAATTTACTGCGCTCGGCCGTATTGTACGTGCCTGTTGATAATCGCCGGCTAGATTAAAGTAAGGGCCAAGTACGCTAGGTATTTGTATCTAGCTTCGGCTGGCTAAGTCTCTTTAGTTTAGTATTAGATTAGTTTGTAATTTTCTTATCTTGAGTTAAAAGCCTAAGTGGAGGGGTACGCTTTCCTGTAAGCCTGTAAGCCCGAGAAGCTGTCATTATTTCTTTGAGTAAATAAAAGGATATTTTAACCCTTCTCAGGTCTACTTTGTAAATACTTAAATTCAGCGATAAGTTCCCTTCTTAGTTCACTACTTAGCCACATTTAACTCAGACAAAGTACTGAGAAACATTATAACTGTTTTGAAATATTTTGAAACTGCTAATTAATTTTAAAAGTAATTACACACATTTACATCTTATTATTTTATATTTGCAACTAAAATCCCTTTGTTTTCTGAAAATTTTGGGAAACGCTGCTTTATCGCCGTAATTGCTGAATTCTACAATTTAAATAATGTCTACTAATTTACATCTTTCAGTAAGATAGAGATGAAACAAGTAAATAAAACGAAAGTTACTAAACTTAAACAAAAGAAGTTATTAATTTATTTTAAAATCTTACAATAGCCTTGTCTCAGTCATTAGGTTTGTCGAAGCAAAAAATATGAAAAAATATGCAGCGCTCTTTCCGGGATCCGAACTATGTAACTCTTGATGCTATTCGGACCAAGGACAGAGGAGTTTTGTTATGGAGTATCTTTGCAATTAAATGCAATTACCTCCACATCTTCATTAATAAAAAGTGAATTGAATAAGAGAGAGCAATCGGTAAAGAAAATGGAAAGAAAAGTCGATAGGGTTGAGGTGGTTACGTGGTCAGCGCGGACGTGGTTGGAGCGGACAGTGGCTACAGCGGACACGTGAGGGTAACTGGGTGGGTAGAGCGGACATTTTTGCACCTATTGTATTGTTTACCTAATTAGTCACATGTCACCTATTATGTACTTTCGAGCTTTGCACCTGCTGTAGAGATAAGCCGATATTTTAAGAGTAAAGGTTTTTCAGTGGATGTTTTATCCTTATGAAGTGTGTATGTCGTTTTATAGCCTCGAAAAAGGTCTGTGATGGAACCCATAGCCATTTCAACAAAAAAATTACTCTCTACAAATAAAGGAAAAGGATATTTAGTTGTAGATGATTACCCACGCCGTTTACACCGAAAATATAAATTAGGAATGAGCTGGGTATGTAAGACAGATCGTTGTAAAGCAGGGTGTCAAACTCATAGGTACACTTGGGCCAAACAAACAAGGTTTAACTTTAGTCGGGCCGCAAAAAACAAAAAAACAAAAAAAAAAAAAAAATCAATATTCATAGAAACTTAGATTTATTTCGAATAATACAATAATAAACTTATATATATTTATATAGAAAAGAACAAGAAAAATTTTAATGTTTACGTCCTGATACTTGACATCTCTTCTCTGCTATTATCTTTCCTATTTCGGGAGAACTTTTGTTTGTAGTGATAACTTTCAACGCTGACCCAAGGTGAGCATCATTAATACGGTTTCTAATAGGAGACTTATTACCTTTCATGACTGAAAATAACTGCTCGCACCGATAAGTGCTACCAAACATGGAAATAATTTCATATGCGAATTTTCGAGTATTTTCAAACCTGGCTGGTAAATATTTGTAAAATTCAAGCACGCCCACTTCAATGAATTTTGCTTTCAAATTTGAGTTGCACTGAATCTCGATCACCTCCATTTGCATATGGCTGGGTAATGAGTCAATTCAATACTTATTGAGAAAATCGAAGAATTAATAGTATTATTAATAGTACATTAATAGTATTATTACATATCAAGCAGATTATTTTATCTTTTATTTCACAGCAAAAATTCTAATTCCTATTTTACTTGGAATATTCTATGTTCGTCAGCGATTTTTCGTTTAATTTTACTACCACTTGGTTTTGATATAGACATACTGAATGCAAAGTGCTGGAATAAACACGGTTAACGTTAAAAAGCTAACAAAAATTTATTCTTCTTTCCAAAGAGATAAATCAAAATGCTGAAATATTTCTTCAAAAATATTCTAACAATATCACAAAATGTCAAACGTTTAGCAAAAATCAATTCAAAACAGAGAAACTAATTCTATCTCACAGCGAAATCGCTACAAATCAATCACAGCATTAAGTAAACAAACAGTTCGCTAGAACTACAGCTACTACTGAGATGAGTTGTTTGTTCTCGGCTTTTATAAGCTTTATAATTAATTTCTCGAATATACCGGAACATCTATAAATATCTGGATTTTAACTATGAAATCCGTAACAATATGAATTAAGTAATAATTAATAATAAAGCAAAGTGCATGCACATGCATGCACCAATATATCGTACAAAACTATGATTGGAAAACTGAGACCATGAGTTCGGCCACATTCGGCTATCGGGGGATGTGTACAAGTTCTGAGTGCACGTGTCCCCCAAAAGCCGAAGGTAGTTGAACGCGAGCTACTCACACGCATTTGTAATTTAAGTAGTGTGTGTGTCAGCTCGCTGTGAGTAATCTAACAACACTGAATAAATTATCGTTAATTACTTAGCAGTAAACATTTCATTTTTCATTTTTTCTTCGTCGATATGTTATTTTATTATTATATATTATTATTTGCCGATATATTGGCCGGGCCGAAAAAATATTTGTTGTGGGCCAGCCGCATGCGGCCCGCGGGCCGCCAGTTTGACATCCTTGTTGTAAAGGAAATGTAAAGACAAATTTTCAGAACGAAGTACTGAAGAAAACTGAACATTCTTGCGTGCCCCTGAGATGGAAGTTAAAAGGAAGTTAGTGACTTGCATAAAAAGAGTCCGAGAAGAAACGTCAGTTCCCGTTCTCAAGATATTTCAAGAACTTTCAGAATTATATCAGAAAGCTTATGATTTCGTCACTAAAATACCGACATACTACAGTGCCAAGAGTAATTCCAGTGCCTTGTAATTCGATAATCGAATGCGAAAACAGAAAACTTCGGTAAAAAAAAAAGTTATCCCACTTGAAAGAGATTTGCCACTTAAAATACTGTTTAAATTTATTTAAGATTTTTAAAAATATTTATTTACTTATTTATTTGCACCCTTTATCTGTTCTTGGGGAAAAAATGTGTCCGCTCTAACCACGATGAGTTTCGTAGTGTCCGCTCTGACCACATCCGCTGCAGCCACACCACCGTTGAGGTTAGTAGATCGATAAGAAGTCCCATAGATGGACAAAGGAGATAACTGCCTGCGGTTAGCCACAATGGAAGGAGCGATTAGCCCGCCACGGCGACACGCCCACAGTAGTCAAAAAAAGTTGTTGTTGAGTTAAAAGTTGACAACGTTATTCGGACGTTCTCTCCAAGGCACGCGGCAAGCAAGAGAAAAAGACATGTTCTTTCCTACTAAAAGGGCGACTGAGGAGGCGGAAACCTATTCACAAAATTCAGGTGGTGATGAATTATCCATCTTCCACATTTTTGTTCGGATGTAATAACTTGTAAGAGTCATTAAGTTGGTCGAAGCGGAAGGCATGACAAATTTCTAATGCCCTCGCCGGTGTTTGAATTCTGAGCCTGCCAATGCTCTTTTCCAATTACGCCACGAAGGCAAGCGATGAAGTGGCAGAAATTACCTTACATCCTCATATTTTGTTCAGTTTTACTATAGGATAGGTATATACTCTACTTGTTTATTAATCAATTCCACCACATTACAACTATGAATAAGCAGTAGAGTCTCAGTTATACGCTATTATATAGGATAACTGAATATGTATTATTTAACCATATTTAAAAAATATAGAATTTTGCTTAGCATTCAAATAAAATAATCTGACATAGCAGTGTAATAATATCACAAATATATGTAATTAATTTTTAGTGCTATTTTTATTCAGTATTTTACAGTATTGCGCACTTTGTGTAAAAGTAATTCTCTGCTTTCCAGTGTTGTTGGTAAAATTTTAACTTGAGTTTTTAAGAAATATAAATTAAATATAAATTAAATCGATATGAATTCGTAGTAATATGGTTTCATGGGAATGGATGAAATTTACTCCCTTCCTGTACATATAACATGCAGAATGCTGTTTGGAAGATAATGCTTTCCTTAAAAACTTTTATTTTCTTTCCAAAACAGTATATGTCGTTCTTGTGTACCTCTTACTTATTAACTACTATGCAATAAAGTTTCATAACGTTATTGTGTATTTGTTTGAGGACTTTATCTTATATATTTTTAATTGCATATTTTGTTTAAAATTTATGTGAAATAGACTAAAACTTAAATATTTTTCATTTTCTAGAGGAATCAGATCACCTGTAGCGGAGAACGCAGCTACAAATAACCTCTCTGCGAATGCAGAAAATCTGCAGTAAGTATCAAACGCAAACTAACTTGTTCATTATTGGTCTAAAATAGTAATCTAAAATTGGCCTAAAATACTAATCGTTTATTTGTATTATGATTAGTAAAATATGAAACCCTTTTTTTCTGATCTGATGATTCCTTTTTGATGAGGCAATTTTCGCAAACGTAAGAGTTCCTATAAAACGGTTTTATAATATTATACTGTAATATAAATGTTAATATATACAATATTGAAATAGTATAGTCTAAGAAGTAATATTAAATATTAATTACCATGTTTACTCTCGTAATAGTCGTACTTTTCTTTGCCAATTTTTTATTGTGAAGGTCTAGGTGCGACTATTATGTGGGGAAATCTACTGCGCAATATTGTACACTTTTGACGATTTTTTCTGCTTTAAAACGGGTTTGCTACTATTACGCGAGTAAACTTGGTAATACATATAAAAACATGAATATTTTTCCTGGTAAGGTCCGAAAGTGTGGACACAGGTGCGCCCTTCCTCTTGGCAATTTGTGGAATTGATATGAGTAATATCTCAAGCCGATTAAAAAAAGAAATAGCGTAATTATTTTTCCCGTAATATAAGGATTATTTTCTTTCAGTTTTTTCCAGTAAATATGTACTTTTATAAATTGAGTGGTTTTTAAAAAGAATTTAAAGTAATTATTGAATACGAAATTTGTCGGAATTTCTTTTTAATACGAAAGACGTATATTCATATAACTATATTTTCGAAGCACGTAAAGCATCGTAAAGGTTTTGCTTGCGAAATGACATCATTTACATAATGCGTGACTTAATATTATAGCTTTAGAAACAGTTCTTCTTGCTGTTATTTAAATTCATTTTCGCATATTAATAACTTCCTCTTTACTTAACCACTTCATTTTAATCTCATTTCTAATATAAGTACTTTAGCTTAATTTTAATCCCGTACATTTCGCTGTTACAAATAGTAATAATAACTTTTTCGATTTTAAATACATTTTTTTATAAAGTATGGACTAGATATCTGTATTAAAATTCTTATAATTTTCTACGGTAATTAAGTTTTCAGAACTGAAACATCTTCAATGATTCGTTTTTGAATAATCACTTGCTTTTAATCATGATTTCAATTTAAAAAACTCTAATAGTAATTTTATTGGTCATAAAATTAAAAGCTTCTTGTAAATATTTTCCAATATAATATATTTTTAATCAAGTATAGACTAGGGATAAGTGTTAAAACTACTAAATCCTTTTCGACATTAATTAATGTTTCAACACTAAAATAATTTCACTTCTAATATTTCGCCAACAAAAGTGAACTACATTCGGTAACAGTCGAATTAAACGGGATTAAGTGCCTTGGTTTCGCTTATACGTTAACCCACCCTTCGCAAGAAAATATTAGATTTTTAAATGTAATCAGATGCGGATCAGTTTTCAATTTATAACTGTAAAGGAAACACAAATCTGTAATAGAAAGCTAACATTCTTCGCCATTAAATCTTGCAGCCTTTTCTGGTGTTAGTAGTGAGTGAATGCCAACAAAAACAATACATAGTGAGACACTGTAGTCATTATAATTCACGTAACTTCTCTTTTAAAAAATTGTAGAAGTCCCATTTTATAAGGTGCAAATATCTAATTTTTATTAAAGTTAGCACATCTTCTTTCCCTATATAGGAATTTAAAAGCAGAGATATAAAACGTTAGTATGATGAAGCAGTAAGAAAATGGGGCTATTAGCATCGAGCAAATACTGAGACACGCTGAGTGTCTGTTAACAATGGAGCAGTTAACATTGAGAAGCTAAGTTGCAGTTTTAAATAACCTTGCTAAATATTAGTATCAATTATTATTCATAAAATTATCATTATTTATAAACGCATTATAGGAATCGTATTTTTGAATTTTTTTTTGTAAGCTTATATTCTAATATTTACAATTCCTTTAAGTGTTCGGAGTGGATACTTACAATGAGCGTCGCTGACTGCTGTGCGGAAGGGCCCAAGTTCAAATCCCGGAGAAGGGCATGTATCCGTTGCGGCATGCGGGCACTCTAGATATGTGGGAAGTCGAAAGTCCTCTCGAGAGGTTGTGGGTAGGGAAAGAGTTGTGAAGTACGCTCGGACTCGTCGCCCCGTGATACTGTTCATCAAAATTGAGGGCGGAACTGACCGAAATTGCACTGTCACCTCTAAATTGCTCAAGGCTGTTGCCAACGACAGGAGTAAACATTGCGCTCCTTGCCACGAGATATTTCGTGGGTTTGGGCTGACTATAGGTGAGACAAGTGAGCCACAACAACAACAGCAACTTACAATGAAGGGTAACAGCAGCTTCAAAATATTCCCAATTTACCTCTAAAACTCTCATTTGCTTATTTATTTATTTATTTATTTATTTATTTATTTATTTATTTATTTGTAAATTTTTCAAATATTTTACATGTAACAGGAATTTTCTGAATGGTAATTGCTAAATTAGATAATTCAGAATTGGCAATGACATCCATTTATGGAAACAAAGGAAATTTATGGATTTTCTATACAATTAAGATGCAAAATGCCGTTCGCAGGTTCTTAAAAACTATATAAAAATATTTTATTTTTGATGCAGGGCATGTAGCTTTTGTGAACTTCAGAGCCTTACTTCTTAAATATTTTTCATTTTCTAGCGTATCAGGTGCTACAGAAGCTACAAATACCGAAAATGAAATTTTGGTGTAAGTATGAAATGCAAAGTAATTTATTCATAAATATCTTAAAATAATTACGCACTTAACATAAAATTTCGTCTACCCTTCAAAATGTTCGGGATCTAGGGATAAACGTGCTGAACCTGAGGTAAAAGAAATTAAACTAAAAAAGGAAAAAATAGTAGGTAATTAAAACACTATAATTGTCACCAAAATTTAAAAACGTATTTATGTAACTACGATTTATTAAAAAAATGTACGAAACGAAATACCACGTTTGGACGGCCATAAGCAATTTCTAAAGATATTCTTAAGAATGAAAATTGTCGCATTATTCATAGCTTACGTCAGAAAATGCTTTTTAGCATTGACCCGTTAATTTCCTGTACAAGTCACACGAATAAACTGCATTCGGATCGAAGCAGCTTAGAAAAGGCATTGCCATAACACATCAAAATCCTCTTTCACTTCGTTGCCACAATGATTCTTTGTTACTTCTTCCCGTAGCGTTTACAAAAGATTAATTTTGAGCCATTAATATGGTTGGTAGTTTTGGTGTAATATACTTATCTTTTATTTATATTCTGGTCAATAAAAAATAAGGCACTTCTTTGTTTTTCCTGATCTCATGAATCATTTCTAGTAAAGTAATTTTTAGAAACAGTTTATTCATAGACGATGACTGTCTCATGTATTGATGTAAACAATATTAAATAATTTCACCTTGAAAAGCAATGCTGAATATTAATTAATAACGTAAAAATATAAATATATTTCACAGTAATGCTATTGACCAATGATGGCGGTCTCTGTCTTCATAAAAATATATGTATAGTGCGTGTAGTTTTTGTGTAAATCAGTGGCACACGTTTTACCTTTTTATGCTTTCAATTTTGGTAACGTATGGGGGTATTTTTTCATGACTTCATCGTATGTTTCTTTAAATTTCATGTTCTGTTTAAATTTTATGTGAAATAAAATTAAGTTTGAATATTTTTTTTTCATTTTTTAGAGATTCTACATCATCTAGAGCTAAAGCGGAATATTTTAGACAACTGTAAGTACTGTTGAAAATATTTGTAAAGATTTTAATCCTTTTTGATTGCATTTTTTGTTTTTCTGAACTGTTATAGTATTTTGTATTGTTTTACTTAAAACTCGAGATATAGGCAACTTCGTTCCCTAGGGGCCTAAGCGACGATTTTTCCCCAACTTGGCGACTTTCTGGGTAATTTGCAAAAACACATTTTCGAAGTCTTACGACAGATCGTTCCAGAAGGTTCCAGGAAATACCCTTATATGCGGTCAGGTCGTAAATTTAGAAGTCCTTTTTTTCACAGGGGGCTGAAAAGTAGGGAATAATCTTGCTCGTGGTCTTGGGGGTTGTTTAAACATCTAACTTCTCTACATTCAGTTTTATACAGAGGAAAATACAAATTGAATTCTTCGAATGAATGCAATTTTGTACAATGAAAATGTATTACTTAACGATAAACTGTAAGATAAATAACATCTTTTTTTAAAGCCATAGGTGTAGAAAGACAGATATTTGTTACACGAATGAATTTGTAGTAAATATTGAGTTTTTCATTTCGAATGCTATGTTCCATGTATGCGAAGTAGCTGAGTATGTGAGATAATAGTCATAACCGAATGGCTTTCAACCTTTTCACGGCTAAGGACTGTTTCTCAATTACATTGTGGTCGCTGCTTTTTGGTTAATTTTCTAATGACATATAAACAATAATTGTTTTTATTTGAGACTTATGAATAAAATAACGCAAACTAGACTGCAGAAAATTCTTAAGAATGAAGTTAAATAATACTGAAAAATACATTATTGATGCACTTTTGTGTTTTATATGTAGTAGTATTAACTACTACTATAATCCTTAAATGGAATCCTTAAATTATATATATCTATGTATAGGTATATATAAATGGAACCAAATATAGAACAAGGTATAAAATATCTTTATTATACAATGTTCATTACCATACGTATATTTACGTAATATCAATATAAATAGTTAGTTAGGTTTCGTACATATATAATTTATTTTTATATTTTGTATTTTTTGTATTAGATTCAGTATTGTATACGTATCTGAAGTTTAATTTTACTTGTTCTCTTTTTGGGTTACGACTTTAAGTGAGAAAGAATTGTTAGGGCCTTCATAGGGATTACATTATATACAATCAGTTAGGATCCGACTTTTCCTTTCTTTTAATCATTATATATATTGAAATACTACTTGATAAGTATACATAAAATATAGCAGTTTTTTAAGCTACTTATTTATATATCTATTGTTTGGTCTGGTTTGTTTGATTATAGCAAAGCATTCGACGGTTATTTGCCTAAGGGTAAGGGTGCCTCGTGGAGAACTTTCTAAGCAAAACTGACTCTTATGCACGTTACACGTGGGGAAAACCTCGAAAACGCCAATACAGCCATTCTGTCGATCCGGATTCGAACCCCGGATCGACCTGACAGAGTTCAACGACTTTACAGCTCAGCCGCTAGTGAGCCACACACACACACCACACATATACATTAATAGTATTAAAACTATATATTACATGTAAATAGTATTTACATGTATATATGTTTCGTTTATAAAGTATAATTGAGTGCAATTTAATCATAAAGAGTTAGAAAATATTCTACGGAATTACTTCACTTCGTAGACTTTTTGTTAAGCTTCACCATATTTCTTAAAGAGAATCTCAATGCTAGTTCCATTTCCAAGCTGTTTATGTACCTTATTTTTCATGCTTTGAATTATATTTAGAAAATTATTTCACTTGGTTATAGCTGAAAATGCAGTTTTTTTATTGAAGAATTTAAGGGTAAGAAGAGAATTATGCCCTTTTCTAATTATTCTTGAAGCATTTAAATTTTTTTTAAAAAAAGCGCACATTAATACGGATCACTGAACTAAAGTGCTCGATACAGGACAGATTAATTAGCTACTAAATTTTGATTTTCATTGAGTAAAAATGAATTCATCTGCATTCTATAAGAAAGTAAATATTCAAAAAATGTTTTTTTTTTTTTTTTTTCTATTCTCGCAGTCATAATATTTTTCTTAAATATTCAGCTAATTCATATTCAAATATTCCAATCCATTACAATTAGTAATAAATCGATACAGTAAATAAATAATTAAAATCAATTAAATGGAATTTTAATTGATTTTAATTGCCATTTTCCCTCTGATAAACCCCTCTTTAGAGTTCAATAGCAGTCGATCAGCTTTTGTTGGGGTTCATTTTTCTTTATGGTATGCTTACGTTATATATGTATGTATTATGCATTGCTCATACTCGTCAATTGCAGCTTTTAATATCTTTTGGAAAAAAATCAATATGAGAATCCAGAAAATGATTCTTAGTGACGCTAAAACTATTATTACTAGGCACTGTCATGCCACAGTGTTTAAAAAAAAATCCCATTGTTTAAAGGTAGATTCTATGCTCATATCCTAGTCTAAAATTAAAAGCTGCGAGTCAAAATTAAGGGGGTTGCTCTTAGAAAGCCTCAATTAGAAGTAGTTATATGAAATGTTAATCAATACTTATAATCTTACGGATTAAACACTTATTCCCTATTTGATCACGTGTATGGCAAACAGATATTCGTCATTCATAAAGAAAAGAAAGGTGAATCAAAATGAGTTATATTCTTGTTTTTCCACTGCAAAACATCTAAATACTACGGATTAATCTTTATTATTCCAATAATACAAACATGGGGGCCGTTATTCTTAACGTAATTACAATGCAAATCCTATTTGGTGCAAATGGCTTCATTAATACGTTAATGATATACTGATTATGGTTACTGATTAGACCTAAAACACTTTTTAAAAAAGTATATCTCCTTATGATCCCGAACACCTTTACTCCCTTCCGTAATTAACGTCAGTCTCCTGCTGTTGACCGCATTTGCCAAGCCACCGGTTCCAGAGCCTGTTATGCTGGATATAAATAGGGGTAGAAGAGTTAGGGAATTCAGTTGGGAATCAATTGAAAAACTTAGCAGTTAATTGAACTTCGAGTTAGAGTTTACCCTAAGAGTAAGTTGGGGAACCTTCGGATTTCTTTCATGAGTTAAGGAGGAATTTCTAAATATCTGATTTCTCCTTGAGTTGTTTCTAGCCATTATTGTGCTGTGTGTACTATTTATTGTGCCGATTTTCCTAATTAATTTTTCATTTCGTCCTGCATCTCTGGACTTATTATTTAAAAAAAAACAACATCAACGATCCCGTAGCTCGCAAAAGCTAGTGTCAGAAATGGGGTTTCTTTGAGTGTCGATAATCAGGAGAACAGAATAACAACTAAAGGTCATAATGGAAAAGTCCACCGCAAGTTCTGCCGACATGAAGACATCAATGGAAGGGAATGCTGCTAAAATGCTAAATTCCATTGACAGAAATGCTGTGGAGATGAGGTAAGGGGCAGTAGAAATAAAGACCTCGATGTTACGAAATGCAGCGAAATGAAAAATTCCATCGTAGCAAATGTAGTTGAGATGAGAAAGGAAGTAGCAGAAATAAAAGGAAGTACCTGGCCAGCCTTCACTGAATTTAAGGAGAATATTGCCTTTGTGGAAGGAAAAATTGTTGGGGCTATGAACAAACGAATAGTTACCATAGAAGAAAAGCTTGAAAATGAAGTTAAAAATGTAAAATCTTCTTTAAATGAAGACATTTCAGGTCTGAATGAGAGACTGGAGAAAGAAATTAATTCTAAGACTAGAACAAAAAATTATAGAACTGGTTTATCCATAACCAGTGTGTCCCCTCAGCGTGCTTTGAACGTTTCAGCTCATCCTGCTTTGAATAACATTTCAGTTCAGTTATCTTGTCCCGCAATTAAGCTCTCGCCGTATGATAGGAGGTCATCATGGAACGTATATGAAGCACAATTTCAGATGATTTCTCAGTGGAACTCTGTCACCAAAGCATAAAATCTGGCAGCCTTTTTACGAGGAGAGGCAGCGGACAGACGCTTCCACTCGAAAAATCGAAAAACTTTCGAATATTGACACCTTAATTAATGCTCTAGAACTGCGGTTTAGAGAAACATTTTTGAAGTATTAATCACCGTCGACATATATAATACTCGACAGCAGAAACCAGAAGATATTCTTTAAGAGTTGACATCTGACACTGGAAAGTTAAAACTGCTAGCATTTCCGAATTGCGCTATGAAATTAAAGACACATTGAGTATGCAGTCTTTTGTGGATTCTGTCAGGGATCCTAAACTACAGCAAGCGCTCAGGATAAATAAGACCAGAATAGTGCTCTAATAATGAAATGAAAGTGGGAACTGCTCAAAACGCCATTAGAAATGATCGTTGACCAGTAAGGGGTTTCAACAGTGTAGAGGACACGATGTTGAAATCGGTGGCAGAACAAACGAAATGTTTGGAAGTGATGGAAACAGCCAAGTTTAAAGGGAGTAATGATAAAAGTAAGATAAAATGTCGGAACTGTAATGGAGAAATGCATTTACGAAAACGGTGTCGTGTGTCTGCAGTTCAAAGACGAAAAATATGTCGACTTAGCAGCAGGCAAACTGCGTTCTTCTAATATCTTTTGTTCACCGCGGAGATCAAGGATTGCGTGTGGAAAGGAAATCCAGCCCGCGATATAGTTTAACTCTCATCGGAACAGTTTGAAGAATATTTGGAAAATATCCGAAAAGTACTGCAGAAGCTAAGAGAAGCTAATTTGAAACTCAGACTTTTGGAATGTAAATTATTTCGCCAAGAAGTTAGCTATCTTGGTCGCATTCTCTCTGCTAAGGTGTATGCACAGATTCTGAGAAAAATCAAAACTGTTCGTGACTGGTATCGCCGTCAAGACGTTAATCAGATAAGAAGCTTTCTCGGCCTCTGCCCTTACTGCAGAAGATTTTCAAAGGTTTTTGTCAAATTGCAAAGTCTTTGCACCGCCTAAAAGAAACAAAACGTTTTCGTGGACTGATGAGGGTGAAGAAGCATTTAAAGCTATGAAGGATGCTCTGATTTTCTCTCCTGTAT